GGCGGGGGGAAGACGGCCCCCGAGCCCGCGGCCGGAAAGGACGCCGCCGCCGAGGCCCGGAGCGGCCGGTGGGGCCCGGCGAGCGCCGCCAGTCTGGTACGTACGGAGCAGGATGACTCTGGGTCGGGGTCGTCGGCTCTAGGGGGCTCCGTCCTGCACGCGGATTAAGGGCTCTGGCAAGTCTTGGTCGGATACTTCCGTTTCAGAACTTTTAAACCGTTCCCTGAAGAGAAGTTACGGGCAGGTGTTTCGGTCGCGATGAATTTCAGGGGTACCAACCGGGTCCTCCTTCAGTTTCGGTGGCCAAGTTAGAAGTCTCTCTCCTGCCCTCTATCCGCACCCGTAGCTGGACGCGCCTCTGGATATTGCATTGGTAAAAATAGCCTTCGCTCTTCTTTTTGAAAGCCCATGTTTGTATTTTCTGAAGCGAATCCCCAATGTTTAGGGCAAGTCTCTGGGAATTTTGAGAAAGGTATACAGCCTTTTTGTATGCGCACGTTTGATTACGTCTCAGTTGACCTTTGGTAACTCTATATATGAAGGATAACTAAATAGTTTAGGTCGTAATTTTGATCCTCTAATCTCTAATTATAGAAAAAGATTAAAACACTCTTCCTGAAGAAACGGCAAGAAATATGGTTCCGCCTACTTGTTGAAATACTGACCAAGCAGAAGACATCGGAGCATGAGTGTGGGAGAGCTTTTGATGTCATGTTAGCAAGACTCATGCAATTATTACATCTTCAATTGTTATGTCTTCAGGGGGCCCCTGTGCTGCTTTTATCCGTTGTACAGCATGGGTCGAGGTGGCCACATCCTGGCAGGGGTCTCAGCTCCCTTAATAGCTAAAGCATTTTGGGGTTTGAATGCTGGATGCTTTGAGGTTGCCATTTCCTGGCTGAAGTCCTTCCCAGAACGGCAGTAGTTGTTCGAGTATGCCACAGGTTATCTGGTTGGGTAATCTGAGATTAGCTCTCTTAATTTTAATGTAGGAATGTTTACAAAGTTAATGATTAGAAATTAATGAGCTACTTTATTTTAACTGAAATATAGAGCTAAAAAGAATCCCTTTCGCTGTTCCAATTGCATTGTCTGGTTTATTCATCAAATGAAATGACCTGGCTGTTTGCAGCTATGTCTTTAATTTTGCCCCATGGCTGTCTCTGGGATTAGTTTTGGGCTTCTTTATTCTAACCATTTGCTTTATTTTTCCTTTTTCTCAATCATGAACTCCCCCACCCCCACCCCCCCAGTGAGTTGCTGGGTCAGTATTTGACTTAGTCTGTGCTATAGTATGGTCAGCAGACTTACCTTTTTCCTCTGGACTCTGAAACACTTGACCTTTGAACTTGAGCTTGGAATATGTTCTAAGAATGGTGCCATTTAATTGATATAATGTGGTTTACTGTCAATAAAAGGTCCTTGAGTAGAGGTTTGGTGATTGTTTCCTGGAGAATTTGAATTTTTCTGTAGCTTTCACTGGTAGTCTTCTGTTACCTGACCCCAATAACCCTGTTATCACTCCAAGCTGAGATGAACATTTCTTGCTGGGTTTTACTTGTAAACACAAACTTAGTATCTTTAGGGAACTTCCTTTTCTTGCAGAATGGTTCAAAGTATTTTAAAAAGAGGTCTTTAGAAGTGGAAACTGTCACTTTTTAAAAAAGTCAACATTAAGGTTCAGGCAAATTGGTTACTGATTAAGAAAGAGGTTAAGTAGGGTTAGTCTTGTGAGAACATAGTCCCATGGGGTAGAGTTGGCAGTCTTGACACTGGAGGGAAAAATCCAGGTTTATGGAACATTTTCTTGGCATTTCTGGGCCCCGTTTTGTGCAGTGTGTCTTAGTTACGCTAGGCTGAGGCTTTTTATAAAGTTGACATATCCTCTCATGAAACAGATTTTGTTTGGCAAGGAAGGAACATTCTTCAGAGCAGCTGCCAAGGTGCCATTTTGTTAGTGCCAACATCAAACACCTTGGCTCCAGATGAAGTTTCAAGAAATCATAAAGCTCCCAAAGGGGAGCTTTGAGAGCCCTCAGCCTCTACTTGGGGATCTTAACCTTTCTGTGGCTATTTCTAACAGATTTACAGAATTTCTCTATTTCCTGAGAGTCTCAATCCCCGTTCCTTGTTCCATTTTCTTCCAGCAATTCTCCAGTTTAGTGATGAGGTTATGGAATTAAATTTTTTTCCCTTCATTCGTGTCACCATACACTGTGTATGGCATTTAGGTACATGTAGAGAAGTGAGAGGAAGTTATCTGCAGTGAATGTTTTTCAGCCACAATGCCCATGGTTGATAATTTGGCTTTTTTCTGAAACTTTCTAGACTGTTTATCTACTTGAAGTATAAGATCTTCCTGAAATTTCATTTTAAAAGCAGTATATTTTTAGTTTTGAATTCTAATGGTGAAGTCATGCGTTAAAGGCTTGAGTTACATGGTTGTTAAGACTTGTTTATTCCTTCCTTCTTTAGGAAGAAAACCTGTACATAGTAGACTCTTTAGTCTGTGTTTGGCTACATGACATTTCTTCATCTTCTGCATTCTTGACAGTTTTAGAGAAATGTCTAAAAAAACAGAATGGATTTTAAAACTCAATTTAAAGTACTAAATTTAAAGTTTATGTAGCTTCTAACCTTAAAGTTTATGAAGTATATTTTTCCAATGTATATGGTTATTTAAAGTGTGAATTTACAGTGTTTAATTTAAATTTGTTGTCTTTGTGTTTCAGTATGAAAACCCATGGACAATCCCAAATATGTTGTCAATGACGAGAATTGGCTTGGCCCCAGTTTTGGGCTATTTGATTATTGAAGAAGATTTTAATATTGCACTAGGAGTTTTTGCTTTAGCTGGGCTAACTGACTTGGTAAGTTGTAAAGGCACTCCCCTGTTTTGCTCCCCTTCCAAATCCCAGGTTCTCTACTACACTGAAATAACATGGCCTTAGTCTGCCTTTTTAGGGGAAGGAAATCTTCAAGATGAATTTCAGCTAGTACGTTGTGTAAGGGCTTGTCTTTAGCATCTATGGGGGACTCTGTTATTCTTTATATGATCTGAAGACGGAAGTGGAGGTTGTAGGGGGTCATAGGAGAAGGAGCTTTTTACTTGCGGTTTTTAACTTTATCATAAAAGAAAAAGCCTTAGAAATTCTCAGAAAGCCAGGTACTTACTGTAGGGATAGAAATAAAGGACAGAAGATGTGACACCATTTTTTTTACTTGTGTAGTAGAAATACCCTGATCTGCAGTAACGGTTGATTGTACTGGTGGAGAGAGAAACAGTGGACAGTTGTTTGACCAGGAAGCTTCTAGAAGCCAGATGTCTGTTCAGGTTGATGCTGGCAGGAGGCCATAGGCACCCCACAGATTAAGTCCCTGGTCCCTGCTCTACACCCTCTGACCACCTTGCAGAAGACTCTGCCCTGGGTGAGCATTAGGCATTCTCCCTTCTTCTACTCTCCTAGCAGATGGACAGAGGAGGAAAAGCGCCTGCATACTACTGTGTCGGTTTGGAGGAAGGAAAAGATTTATTCAGGTTATCTCAAACTAGAACTTGGAAAATAATTTTCTAACAGAAGTCTGCACTGTGGTGTTATGTTGCGTAGGCTTTGGTGGACTGGCCAGTCATCATCATGGATAACGTTATTTGTATTTATCACCCACCCTTGCATGAAGAATTTGAAGTAGCTTACAGAACTGCATGTCCTGCAAAAACACAATTGAAGGCAGTGGGGGAAAGGTAGAGGGGAAGTGTTAAATCAGGACAAAAGCATGTAGAAGGAGATACTGTGGGTCTATATTGTAGATCCTTGTACAAGGCTGGTCTGAGATCCAAGTGAGTACCCAGACAGGCAGTAATGACTTGGTACCTCTTTAAACTGATGTATATTTGTTTGCCCAATATTTAGTGAGAATAAAGAGAAACTAGTTTTCTATTAGTGAAAGTTGTATTGCATCTTTCTTTGTAACATCACCTATTCCCTTTGAGGTTCATAGAAACAAAATTCCACCTGCCCAGTAGGGCTACTGAGCAGTATAGAATTAGCTGAAGATTTTGCAGGGTAAACAGCGGAGGACATTTGCATTGTTATGTGGTATTTCCAGACACCCATCAAAATACAGTCTCTTGAGACCGAAACCGCTACCACTTCTCTCTTTCCAGAGTTTAGCTCCTGTTTGTCACAACTTCTCCCCATTCTTGCAGTCTCTCCTTTTGTCCCTGCTTTTATCTCTGAAGCGTGGAGGCCTCTACTTATTAATCTGGGCTCCAAGTCAAAGTCCATTATACTGATGATGGAATTTTTTTTTCCCCGTAACAGACAAGATTTTTTTCAGTTACTGGATTTGCTCTTTTTTGGTTTGTAGGGTTTTTTTTGGTTGCCACATGAGATTGCAATATTCACTGAATGGAAGAGGCCTCATTTACACTTTTCTAAATACGCAAGGCAGTGTGTGTGTAAGCCTGAGTTAACTGGCGCTGTGTTACATTTAGTCCAGGGAGGTGTTGATGCCTCTGGAACAGCTGCTGGAAGATGGCTGGACTCACGGAGCGTTTAAGCAGGGGAGTGACAAGGCCTGATTTCTGTTGTATGTGGAGATGGGTTACAGGAAGGCATAAGTAGAAGCTGGCTGGTTAGAAGCTTACAGTAGTCCAGGGGAGTGGGTTGGGAATGTGTTTTGAAGATAGAGTTGATATGTTAATGGATTGGCTATGTGGGGTGAGAGAGGGGAATTAAATATGAGTGCTAGGGTGTTACTTTTGTTTGTTTTCAACAAGCAGGTGCATGGACGTTAACATCTTTTGTGATGGTCAACACTCAGGGTAGGACAGGGTTGCAAAAAGAGTTGTTGTGCTGGTCCACGTGGAGATAACAGTTGGGTAGCTGAATGCAGTAGTTCGGGATTGTAGGAAATCATGGTTAGAGGTAGATGTAAGAGTTACCCTCATATGGATGGTCAAGTCTGGCTGCAGTAAAAGAAGAGACGGAGTCAGAGAAAAGAGCAATATATGGAGCAGTAGAGAGGAGCCAATAGAGGACACTGAGAAGAAACACTAAGAAAGGAAGAAAATTAGGCAATAAGGTGTCCCGAAGTCAAGTGAAGAAAGTATTTCAGTTATGTTAAGGTCAAGTAAGGTGAAAACATAGAATTCGTTGGTGACCTTTATGAGTCCATCTCTCCAGGGTGGGACAGTCAGGGTGGGTTGGCGAGCATATGTGAAGTGGTGATGACAGTAGCTGTCACTCTGAGGAAGTTCTGCTTCATAGGGGAAGAGAAATAGAGTCAAGAAAGGGTAATTTTTAAAGAGAGAGATACTGGGGAAATTTTTGTTGTTAATTAACTAATTAATTACATGACTGGGCAGGATAAGGGATTGGTGATGCAGGGGGGTGGGGAAGGAGGGAGGCAACTCACAGAAGGTGCGAGGGCCTGGGATCAGGGACCAGGGTGGGCAGAGAGGATGTGAATGGATGCTGGTAGGTGGTGGATTTGGAGGTGGGAATATGAGGGAGTGCTGACAGTCCGTTTCTGTTTTTCAAGGAAATACAGACATGGTCATGAACTAGAGAGAGAGGCTTTAGGAGGGATGGAGTCAGTTTGAGGTAAGAGCAGACAGTGTGAAAAGGGAAGGTAAACACAGTTAGCTGGTGTAGGTTTGCCAGGCAGTATTGGGTGCCCTGGGGAGATTTGTGGTCATGGAAGAAAGTGAAATCAGTCATGCCATTTATGTGTTTTCTTGATCAATGTTCAGCTGCTCTGGTGCAGGCCTGGACGGCATGATAGTTGTATTTAAGCAGGGGTGAGGGAGAGTAGAAGAGGGAGTTATAGAGGTTTATAAAGAAGAGGTGATGTTGGTGACCTTGGAATCTAATGTGGGTAGAGGAACAGTGAGGACGAGAGGGTGGTGATGGTGAAAAAAATGGGAGATTCCCTGAGATCAAAAACTGAACTGACACCTGAATCTCCCAAGGCCCTAACTCCCAGCTCCAGGCACTTTCTGTTAGATAGCGTTACCTCCAGTGCACTTAAGAAAGTAGATTTTTTCAGTAGAGGTGGTAATAGCTAGTAACTGCTTCTTTTGAGGATTTACCAAGTGCTGAGTGCTGAACAAGTATTAATCACGTTATGTACTGAAACAACCAGCCCTTTGAAGTGGATAGCACTCTCTGTTTTACAGATGAGGAAACTGAGGCGTAGGCCAAATAACTTGCCCAAAGTCGCACGGTGAGTGAGTGAGTGGGAGAGCCAGTTCTTGAACCACAGTAGCCACTGGCCTGGACTGCTGCGGTCTCTAATTCTTTGGAATACTTGAGATACGGAGGACTGATTTATCCTTTACAATGTAGCGTGTTAAATTATGTCTAAATTAATTTGATCTTTTTCCATGGAAATAGGACTAGAAAATTCAAACGTTTGTTGAAGCTTGACATTAAATAAAATAAGTAAAAGCCAGGTAGGGGCTTGGAAAACCAGAAAGTATCTGCCTTGTCTAATAGGCAATACTTGGTTTCAGTCCATTTTGTGGCCCCAGGGTGGCCAGATCTTCCCATTTCTCAAGTGAGCCTGGAGATCTGGATTTTTTGAGGTAAGACTTTAAATATTTAAATGTTGGCAACTAACTTATGTTTTAAAAATCTCTGGGGGGTCAGACAAAATCAGCCTTCAGGCCCCTTTGGCACACTGGCCACCAAGTACGACCTTGGAAACAAATACAATTTGTCTCCAAGAATAGTGAATAAGTAATTTTCATATCAAAAATTTTAAGTAGGCCAGGTACAGAGGATTGAATTTTTTATTTAAATACAGGTCATGCAAATACAGTCAGACATGGAATTAACAGTGGCACTAAAGAAAAAATACTGAAAAATAATAACAGTTAAAATTTAGGGAGTTGGATCTCATTATAGAAAAGTAGGTAGAATGAAGGTTAGAAAGTCTCGCAGTTAAAGGTAGTCCTTGCAAGTCAAAGCAGCTGTTCTGGCTGTAGTGCAATAGCCCAAGGCTCAAGAGGGGGCTCCGAGTCCGTGCTCTGTTGGTCATGCTTTCTTTGAGTTTTGTTTGGGTTCTGCACATCTCTGAATTTGTGTCTGGGTTCATTTCATAAGGGGCATTGTGAAAACATTGAGAAATAGCTGAAGGCCTTGGGAAAGAAAAGTACTGTAGAAAAGTGGAATTATTTTCTGAGCAGTTGGTAATTTAAAGCTAAACCAGTAAAACGAAGGTTTGGGGGTAAGAAACAGAAGAGGTTATATCTACATTTTATGAAAGTATAGTTGTTGTTCTGGTGTCTCTTAACCTTCAAGATATCTACTCTGTACCTATTATGACATTTATTAAAAAAAAAACTTCTATTTTCAGTTGGATGGATTTATTGCTCGAAACTGGGCCAGTCAAAAATCAGCTTTGGGAAGTGCTCTTGATCCACTTGCTGATAAAATACTTATCAGTATCTTATATGTTAGCTTGACCTATGCAGATCTTATCCCAGGTAAGAGCGCCGCCATGCGTACTCTTAAGTAGCACAGGGAAGAATGCCATTAGTCAGCTTAGCATTTTTCTTGATTGAGAGACAAGTAATTTTTGTTCCAAAAATATGTTTTTCGACTTTACACTGTTTCCCTAATTTTAAACCATTGAACTGTTTTACTTGCCAAGCTGTTGGTTTTACTTTAGAATTTATATCCTTTTATACTAGTAGTAATCATTGTTTTCTTAGCAAAATTGTTCAAAGTTAAAAATGAGCAAATATTTCACAGTACCAACTCATGCTAGCCTAGAATCTTTGGAAACTGTATAATATTCTTAGTGCCTAGCGTTCTGAAAGCACTTTAAAGTTTTCCTAAGTCTAGTATTTATTAATTACAACTTAATCATAAATGAGAGCTCTGAAATCCTAACGATGTCTGTAAAATTCCACATTATTGTTATTACTACGTAGACACTATTACGCAATTCCAAATTATCCACGTAGTTTATATGTTGACTATTCTTTGTAACAAAATTTTATGGTCTTTTGTATTTTGCATGTGCTTTTCTAATTGTTCATTTTCTGCTTCTAGCTGTGTTTCTCAGTTTTTATCCTTTGGTTCAGATTAAACTGTTTCTAAGAGTTAGAATCAGAGAACAAAGAAGCTGCCACGTGGTCCTTTGATAGCACGCCGTCACTGACATCTGGTTGGAAGAAGTGTAGTGGCATTTCAGTCTAGGGCAATCTCCTCAATCGAGAGATTCTTTTTTCTCCTCTACCTTTAGACTTTTACATCTATGTACCAAATTTAAAAATGAATTAGACTTTATTTATGTGCTGCTTTGAAAGTCAGACTTAGGGTGTGTATATGGGTTGGGGTGTGTATATGAGCAGGGGTATGCTGTAAATAATACAGATAATTTGTAGGAAAAAAAGAACCTAAGGAGCATTCCCTTCAAAATTGATTGTGTGTGTGTGTGTGTGTATTTTCGTGCCTCCCATTTTTCAGAGTTACTTTGTATTTTGTTGGAATGTTTTACCAAGTTTGGCCAGGTACGTCTGTGTTGAACATAGAAATTATTTCCAGGTTGTGGTATGAGGGGTCATGTTGGTACAGCTTGTGTAGGTTGCCTTCCAAGCAGAGACTTCCCTTCGTTCTCATTCATTATCATTTTCTCTCTTCTCTGTTGGGTCTGTTTTTCCAGGCTCCTGTGGCTTCCTTGCTAGGGCCCTCCTTTTGGTGATGCGGAATCTCCAGTTGTTTTCCTGTGCTAGGCTGCAGCTTGGCAGCCAGGTTTATAGAGGTCTCCAGTGTCCTTATTCTGTCCTCCATACTTGACTGAGATTTGAGTGTAATTCTCAGTTGCAGGTTATTTTCACTCAGAATTTAAGACCCTGTTCTATATAGACTTCCAGATTCCATCCTGCTATTGAGAAGTCGCATGCCATTCTAATGCCTTTTTGTTTATATATGATTATGTATTGTAGTAGAAGGCTTTTAAGATTTCTTTACATTATTCCCAGTTGATGGTTGAAAAAATTCTGTCTTAAAATTAATTTTCTCACTGCTTCTACGGACACCAGTTATCCCAGCACTTTTCATGAAAAGTCTGTGCTTTCCAGACACTGCCATGTGCATAGATATTCCTGGGTCCATTTTGGGTTGTGTAGTTCATTCCCCATTGATTTGCCTACCTTTGCACCAGTACCATCCCTAATTATGATTACTTTGCTGAAAGTTTTGATATTTGATGGAGCAATTTCCTCCACCTTGATATTCTTAACCTATTTGCATTTGTCTGTAAATTTTAGAATCAGCTTTTCAGGTTCCCCAGAAAAAGTTTTTGGGATTTTATTGAGATTGCATTGAATTTACAGCTTTATTTAGAAGAAGTGATCAAAGAACCAACTTTGAGCTTTGTCAAACTTCTCTGATTTGTTTACTGCTCCATTAAATCTTGCTTTTTTATTTCTATATCCTTCTTCAGTTTTTCTCTGCTGTTCTTTTTCTAAATTCTTTAGATCAGTTCTGTCTGGTAGAAACATAATGGGAACCATAGATCTAATTTGACTTTGTCTAGCAGTCATATTCAGAGCAAAAAGAAACAAGTGAAATTTTTTCATGTTGTGTATGTGTGGTTGCCTTCCCGTTACAGTGGGGACAGAGTGCTCGGAGCATGCACTGCCTGAGCCACCCACCCAGATTTTAAAAATATATTTTATTTAACCCACTAGATCAAAAATATTGTCATCTCATTATATAGTCGATGAAAAACCATTAATGAGATTTTTTTTCATACTCTGTCTTCAAAAGCCAGTGTGCAGTTGCACTTACAGCCTCTCTTAATTCAGACCAGCCACGTTTCTGGTGCTCTGTCTGTACATGTGGCTCGTGGCTCTTGTATTGAACAGCACAGCTGTAGATGGATGTTTAACTCACTCCTCTGCTTTTCTTCTTTCAAGTTTGCATTTAAGGCTATACATTGTCTTCCAAGTATCTCTTTCATGGTATCTCATATGTTGGTACTAGTGTTCTTGTCATTATCAAGTTCAAAGTAATCTGTTTCCGTTAACGATTTTTCTTTGGCCTCTGGTACTAATAAAAGTTTTTTCTTTTCCTTTCCTTTTCTTTCTTTTCTTTCTTTCACTGGGGGATTGAACCCAGGACCTTGTGCATGCTAAGTGTGCGTTCTACCACCTCCCCAAGTTTATTTCTTAATTTGTGGGACTTTGTAGGTATCTTTAACATGCTCCGTGATTTTAGCCCTTCAGCCTGGGATACAGTCAAGTTTTACAAACAATTCATGCGTGTCTCAAATGGATGTGAGTTCTGCGGTCATTGGGCCTGATGGGCTACATACGTCCATTTGGTCAAGTTTTTAATCCTGATGTTTAACTCTACTTCTTTACTGACTTATTTTTTACATTTAGTCTGCTTTTCTGTCAGTTACTGAGAGAGTAGAGTTGCCTACTGTGTGTCTAGTTTTCCACTGTTTTCCTTTGTAGCTCCGATTTTTGCTTTGTGTCTTTTGGAGTCATGCTATTAAGTGCGTATGAATTAGAATTGTTGTATCTTCTTGGTGAATTGAATGTTTTATTTTGAAGTCACTCTCTATGTCTCTAGAAATGATTTTTGCCTTGAAGCCTCTTTTGTTGAACATTACTGTAGCTACACTAGTTTACTTTTGGTCAGTGTTTGCATGATGGCTAAATCTTTTAACTTTCAACTTGACCACATCTTTATATTTTAGGTATGTCTTGTAAATAACGTATAGATAGGTTTTCTTTATTTTATCCAGTCTAAAAATATTTTATCTTTCAACTGAAACATTTAACCCATTTACCATGATTATTAATTTTGGGTAGCAGTCCTTCATTTTATTTTGTGTTTTATATGGCCCGTATGTTTTGTTATACTTTTATCTAAATTTTTATTATTTTATCAGTTTTTCCTGTACCAGTTGGAAAGTTTTACACTCTTAACATTTAGCTATTCTCAAAATTATAATTCATTTGTACCTTATCAAAGTTTAATGTTCACAAATCTTTACATTTGGCCTTCTGTATCTGCAGGTTCTGCATCCACAGATTCAATCAACCTCAGATTGAAAATATTTTTTAAAAATCCAGAAAGTTCCAAGAAAACTTTGCTGCACACTGGAATCTGTTTACATAGCACTTACATTGTGTTAGGTATTAAGTAATCTAGAAGTGCTTTAAAGTGTATGGGAGGGTGTGCCTAGGTTATATACAAATTCTGCACCATTTTATATAAGGGATTTGAGCATCTGTGGATTTTGGTCATCACTGGGGGAAGCAGGGTGGTTCCTGGAACCAGCCCACCGTGGATACCCAGGGACGGCTGTACTTCCTGTGGACACTGGAAGGGCCTGACAATACTTTAGCTCCCTTCCTTCTTTCCTCAGTTTAGATTATTAGCATACTTTAATTTTATATGTTTTTTCAACCCAAATGATACTGTTATTTATAATCAGTGTTCATTTAGATGAATCTTCATATTTACTTTTTTTGTTTTATGTTTAATATATTTCAGACCTTCCACCTGGAATCATTTTCCTTTTGTCTAAAGTATATTATTTTGCCTTTATTTGTGTGTGTGTGTGTGTGGACATTTAAGTTCTGCTCTCATTCTTTAACAAGCATTAGCCTGATACTTTTTTAGCATCTTGTAGGCTTTCACTTTCAAGATTTTTTTAAATGTTCTTATGTAGCCTAGCCCTTCAGTCTGAAAACTTACGCTTCAGTTCTGAAGATCTCACGCTATGTTCTCTTCTTTCTGAAAACTCTTTTTATGCTCTCCGGGAGATTTCCCCAACTTTGTCATTTACCCTTTCTGTTGACATTTTTACTGCCATCGTTTTTAATTTCCAAGAGCTCTTGTTCTATGTGTTCTTTAAAACACATGTGTATATGTATATATATCTTTTTCTTATTTCATAGATGAGTGTCGTCATATCAGGCTATCTTCTCTTTATCTGTTTCTATGTGTGTGTGTAAGTTTTTTTTAACTCCTATATTGTATTAATTTCTTTCTAATTTCCTTTTTTTTTTTTTTCTGTTTTAGTCTCTCTTTCATGATGGAGACTTTGCTAAAATGTCTGATGATTCTTGGCTGCTCACTTACATTTAATTGGGGCCTGAGATGTTAATTGGGTGCACTGTAGGCATTGGTGGAATTCTTTTCAATGCAATAATTATGCTATTGATAGTAATCACTTCTGCTATATAAAAGTGAATGATTTTATTATTTCCCTTTAACACTAATAAAGTTTGCCCATGATGTACCTCCTTGTTGCAGAAACTATATTTCAGACAGAGTTAACAAATAGGAAAGCCTTGGAGGATTCCCTGCCACATTTTACATCCCCATTAACACACTATCATACTATGATAGACAAAATGAAAGCTGCTTTAGGCCTAGAAGAAAAGGGAAGGGAAGGTTAGGGGAGAAAGCAGGAACATTAGAAGATTCAAAAGCCAGGGGACTGGATAAAATCCACCCCCATCCCCAGCCCCACCCCCCAAAATCTAAGTAAGAGCCTGTATGTATACAGGCCGTCAACTGGCAAAGGCCTTAAGGATCACCTGGTACAGCTTGGTCCCGGTCTGGCTGCTCTTGTGAACCTCTAGGGAGCTTTCATCTGTGCTTTTACAAAGCTCTCCCAAGGTGATTCTGTGATGAGTAGTCAGTTTGAGGAACCCTTGATTTTGTAATCAGCCCTTTCCTCCCCTAGACTGTTACAAATGGTAAACAGAGTCCGGAGAGCATTCCTGGCAGTACTGCTGACCACCTGGTGACCTCGGCCAGGTTAGATAATCTGCCTGAGGCTTGTCTTCTGTTTGGCATAATGGGGATAATGATGGTTCACATTTCATGGAGTTGATATGTAAATTAAATGTCATTGTATGTATAAAGTACATAAACAGTGCCAGATGCTCAATAAATGGTAATTTTGGTAGTCAGTAGAACTAGAACCCAAGGCTTTGCAGTGTATTGAATTGCCTCTGCTCTTCTGCAGAAACCTCTAATTTAGGATTAAATTATGTTCTTTTCCCCCCTGTGGTGATGAACTGCAGTAGCAGGTGTTTATTTTCTTCTGATGCTGTGTTTACTGTGTATAATTTGCATGAGTTTGCTGCATTTTAAAATCTGATTGTTATTTGATTTTGTCAGCTGGTTGTTACTATAGAAAAGTTTGGTTTATGGGCACAAAAATCCTCCTAAAAATGATGGCTTGCTTGCTTTGCTACTTGGCTCATACAGTCTTCTGTGTCTTCTGTGTGCTCCAAATGCCATGACTTGAGTGGATAAGCATTTTCTCTTTGGAATAGTCTTGTCAATGAGTTCTAGGCCAAGGATCAACACTTACATCATAGCCGTGACCAGAGATTTAAATTCTTAAATCTGTAATTAATTAGTGAGTTTTTTTCTTAATTTGCTGAACCAATAGAATGTCAAAATTGAAGAGGACTATAGGTACAGCTTTAAAAGTAATTCAGAAAGAGCTGTTTGAAAATATTATGGAAGGGATGTGAATGATTCTATTTTAGTAATTGAAACAATTTAAGGGTTAGCCTCAAGATTTTTCCTTTTCTTAAAATAATTTTTTTTAATAAAAATGTGACATGTCCATGGTTAAAACATCCTGAAACGTGGAAGGATGTAAAGTGAAACAAGACCTCTGCCCTCCCATTCTCATTCACAAGGGAGAAGGAATTCCTTGGGTGTCTGTTTTAAATGTCCTTCTGCTGGCTCCGGGCCATGCTGTAGAATCTTAGGAACAATGAGAAAGCTGTCAACAAGTTGAATTCATGTTTAATTAGAATTCAGTGAATGAGCAGAAGAAAAACCAGCAACTGCCTGGATAGAACTGGCCAGACAAAAATGAAAATATTTTTTCTCCAAAAGTGGTATAGCAAATTTTACTGTTCATAAAGTGATCTAGCATGCAGAAGCAAGCAAAGTTCCCGAGACGCCACAGTGGTTGAGTCCCAACACCCTTTCCAACCTCGTTACCATCTCATTCCACGTAATTATAGTGAGCATGGTGATCTTTTCCAAACTCCCAGAGCTGGAGAGTGACAAAGGAAATAGTGGGGGCTGCGTAGAGCTGACACTGATAACTGCAATTTTAAAACATATGCAAAGGAAGAAAAATACAGAAAGAGGTGAGAGGATCACATCCTGACCGGCATAGACTTTAAAAGCCATAGTCTGTCTTTGAGCTTGCTTTGAAGACAGGTTAAGGAACATAAAAATCAGCAGTTCACCATAAAGACCCTAAACAGGCGTCAGTAAGTGTTTCTTAATACAGTTTTTTTTTTTGCTTTGTGAAATACCAGTTTATGGTAAGGCTTCATTGTGAGTATAATGTCTTAATTTTCAAACTCCCAATCAAAATTATTTTATATTTGATTTTCAGTTCCACTTACTTACATGATAATTTCAAGAGATGTAATGTTGATTGCTGCTGTGTTTTATGTCAGATATCGAACTCTTCCAACACCGGTGAGTTTGTTTCAAAAAAAAAATTATTCTTTTAGTATTACTTATAACTTAATGCAAAAAAAAACCCACTATTATGTGCTGAGTTTCACTTTGTGGAAATAATTTAAGGCAATCATTTTTTCAGTCCATTTACTAAGAATTTAAAGAAAACAGACATAAGTATCATCTGGTTATTTGTATCACCTATTACGGTAATTGTTCAGTGAACAGATGGACAATCAACTTTTTAAAAGCGTTTTTTTAAGTCAGAATTATTTTAGCTTATCGCCCATAAGACTCAGGCCACCGTCCCTCGCAGCAAACTCTGTTTGGAGTGTTGTGTATAGACAAGCACCTTTCCTGCCTAATTTTGCTTCTACTGTGGATTATCTAGAACTGGGTTTTAAGATGACAGTTTTATGGTTATGGAGTGGTTTGTTTACATATTTGTTCATTGGTTCTACAAATATTTGAACACAGAAGTATAGCATAGCTTACAGCCACCTCATGAGCATAACAACCTCATCTTTTTTGTTCCAGTTCAGTGAAAATGGCAGCATTTTATTGGTTTGGTTTTTAACCTATAAAGAAAATAGTGATAAGGGAGATTTGTTCAGTTTATTTAGTTTAAAAAAAATAGTCAGACTTTATGATAGTTATTGTGTTAGAATTTTATAGGAATTGAGAAATAAATCTATAAATTTAAAAACCTATTTTCAGTACACTGTGTATGATTTTTTTAAAGAACGTAGATGTTGAAGAAGATGCAGATAAAGGGTTTGTCTAGCATATAGCCAGGCATGTGCTGTGCACTCAGGAACTATTGCATATAAGAACAAAATGTTTATTTTAAACTTGAACGTCACATTGAATAAACTTTATTTTTTTGTCCTCTGCCAGCGCACACTGTCTAAGTACTTCAATCCTTGCTATGCCACTGCTAGGTTAAAACCAACCTTCATCAGCAAGGTAGGAGACACACAGTGTCCTTTCAAGTTATTATTCTCTTGTGGGTTTTTATTATAATGAATATAAACCTCGGTCTGGAGCAGCTGAGGAGAAGACGAATTTTCACGCATTGACTACAGAGGAAAGAGAGTGGGGTCATTAACCCAATTCTTTTGTTCTCAGGCTTTCTGGACCTTTAGTATATATATTGTGCTTTGTGTTGGTGGTCTGAGAACTTGCCTCTGAGTGAGGTATTAGGGCCACCATTTAGGGGAGGTGGAAAGAGTGGAAATGCAGTTGCGTGTTGATGGAGATGCAAAGAGATTATGAAGATTCCTTTCAGGTTTCACTACTCACCCCTCCCGGCAGTGAAAAGACCGTACAATAAGGTCCTTTTATTTGCAAGATCGATTGTTCCTTGGAAAGGGACAGAAGAAAGTTTCACTAATAAACCACTCCTGCTCTTAGTTGTCCACCCGTTTTCCCGAGCCCTCTTCAGGACAGTAACTGTGTGCCAGTCTCTGCACACAGAGGACACTATGAATGCTGCTCAAGGCCCTTTTGTTTCACCAGCAGCCTTTATATGTTTGCCCTAATTATTCTTTTGCCCCATCCCTTGTGACAGAGGTGTGACAGGGTAGGGGTGCTGATTGTCTTCGGGACAGAGGAGTGATCATTCTTAACCCAGAGACTCTCTGTGGTGGGTTTTTACCTTCAAATATGGGTTGGTTACTTACTTCCTTACTTATGCAACTTGTATTTGTATCAGTTCAGTGAGTGTCTTAAAGAGGTGCCAGGGACAGATGCCCCAACTCCTTGGTCTTGTAAGAAACTCTCCAATTTTCATTACTAATTTTTAAAGTGGAGTGGAATCCCTGTAATTTGGCTGCAGGCTGGACGATCAAGCGTAGGTGTGTCTCTGGGCACATGACCCACAGGTCCATCCGTCACGTGCCTCCCCAGCCCACTTCTCACGATGAGTGCAGGGAGTCTGCAGTGTCTCCCTGGTTCTGTGTTCCTCCTCTCTGCTGTGCTGTCTTCCTGGGTGGGGAGACCTACTCGTTTCCTCTGGAGAGCCTCTCTCATGGAGATGAATGCATTTCAGTTTTCCAGCCTCATAGATTTGGCAAGCAGGCAAGTGAAGAGAGCAATGAATGAAGTGCGGGGAAGTCTGGGTCCTGGGTTTGGATCTGTAACCTGCTGTGACTGCAGGCAAGTCACTTAACTCATCCCCCTTTCACCTGTGAAGAGTAGGTTCATTATTTTCCTACGCACAGGGCTGTTGTACTGGGCAGCTGAGAAAAGGAAAAGAACTTTGTGACACTGAATTGCTGTGGGGATTCAAGATGGTGCTATTTTCTGACGATTGCCCTTCCCCTCACTGTAAAGGGCAGCTGCGCGGACCTTCAGCCCCCGTATGAATGCCGGCGTCGCTGGCAGGGCCATTACAACACCAGGCACGCTGCGCATGCGTTGTGTCACACTGCGCGGGTTATATGCCTTTCTCGTGTGAGCCTGAAGCAGGATCAGGTTGGCACTGTTCATTTATGACTTTTTTTTTTTAAGGTAAACACAGCAGTCCAGTTAATCTTGGTGGCAGCTTCTTTGGCAGCTCCGGTTTTCAATTATGCTGACAGCATTTATCTTCAGATCCTGTGGTAAGCTAAATTTAGAATTACTCTTGAAAATGTCAACAAAATGGCTTATTGTGACAGCCCTTGAATTGCTTTGTTCTTAAACGTGTTTATTAAGCACTGACTGGGTACAACTGTGGGCTATATTTTGTGATTGATATCATTGTTAAGAAGTTTACTATCAAGTATAGGATGTAGAAGTTCTACTGTAGGTGCTTTCATGGAAGTTAGAAAGGATGAGAGGTACAGATAATGTATTGGGGCTTCGAAGAACGGAAAAATCCTTCCAGGTAGGAAGCGGAGGGGAAGCTTCAGGGAGGAAGTGGCATTTGTGACATGAGGTCTGTCTAGGTGGAGAGAGACAGGGGAGGCCACGGTGGTGAAGGACAGACCTGGGCAGGGTCAGCCCTGTGGGGCAGGGGAAGGGAAGTGCATCCGGCCTGTGAAGGGGGCAGACAGGGGGAGAAACTTGCAGAAAGGAGTTTGAGTTTTACTTTGTTAAGCTTATGTGTAGCCTTGAAAATGTGCCACAGTTAAGTTTCGGAGTTGGATTGTGCCGCACTGACGTTGAAGCGCTGTATTTTACTCCTTTTAACTTTGCAAAGGTAATTAAAACCTTTTTGCTTGATGCAGTCTGAGCCAGAAAATGGTTGGTTAACCAAAGTCAGTTAAGCTAAAACTTTAAAAATGATACACACGCGAAACTTTTTATTTTCTAAAACACGTAATTGGACATTCATTCTGGCTCGTCCTCGCCTCCGGGTGTAGGCCCGGGGCCTTTCCCTTGACTATAGGCTCCTCAGTGGGAGTTTCTCTTTCTTGAAAACACTGCGTCTGTAATACAGCCTCTCTGACGCTCATGTTCTGCCTCCTTTAAAGTGATAGAGGAATGTAAGACATTTACGAAGCAGTCCAAGTACAGGACTTTCTAGAGTTCTTTACCATTTTCTTCAGTATTTTAACAGTTGCATTGTCTACCTTCTTTGACAGTATTTTTTAGCAGCTTGCCTTGTTATCAAGCCTTTCCAAAGCCTCCAGCTTGGTTCTCAGAAGTAGCAACTCTCCCACCTGTGTGTTTCATTAAGTTTATGTGTGATTTTAGGACATCAAACTGGCATGAACAGGTTTGCAACCAAACAGAAATAGAGTCTTGATGGTCCTGCAGCCCACCTGGTGGGGGCAGAGGCGCCTGCGTGCCCCAGAAAGCAGCCCATTATCTGTGAGCACTCAGCAGGCGCGAGCATCTCTCGTGTCATTTGAAAGAGAATCTGATGAATCTGGCAGTTCCCTTAACGGAAAATCAGTAAAGAAAGCTGCAGGGTATTTTAAGTGACTCAGATATTAGAATTCCCAGGATCTGCAAGAAGTAGCACTAATGCTCTCAGCAGCATGGAGCCGCGGGATGAGCCCAAGGGCTCTCAAGTTGAAACCAAGTTGGACTCGGTTCTGAGGCCCTGAGCAAGCTCTCTGGGGCACTGTTTCCTCTGTGAGATGAGGTTGCTCTGAAAATAAAATTACCTAGAATAATGTCTGGGTAAAAATGACCATTGCTGTTGTTAGACATTAAATTTTACTCCTTTCTTCCATAAAAGGTGTTTTACCGCTTTCACCACAGCTGCATCAGCTTACAGTTATTATCATTACGGTCGGAAAACTGTTCAGGTGATAAAGGGCAGATGAAAGCCATCCGTCATCGTTAGCAAGGAAGCAGGATACATCTTCGGCAGCAGGGCCAGTGGAAATCTCCAGGAGTTTCCTTATTTTGGTGTTCAGCTTGAAAAAGGACTTGTCAGAACAAACCATGTCGTCAAAATTTAATGTGCATTGAAAATGAGCTTGATCATGGGTATAAGCAGAATTTCCAATGTATTTTTAAATACAAATAAAACTATAGAATTTTTTTATCTTAGGTCTCTTGATTAATTTATAAGGTTGCAATTATTCCAGTTATTGTCAGCCATTTTTTTTACTCCATTAAAATAATCCAGAGCATAGAAACAGAGGAGTTGCCACTTCTCTTTAATAGAATTTAGATGGCTCACAAAGCCCTCAGGAATTTGTTGGGTTTAAATATACATCCTATATAACTTGGCTACATAGTTTTATGTTTGATTTTTAGATCTGTGTACACATTAACAGTGTATGTGGTTAATATTTGATTGCTTAGGATAATGACAAAATACAGGTAGCTTAGTTGTGGATGAAGTAAATTTGTGAAGAGATTTAAAATGCAGTCAGTTTTGAAAATAATAAGATCAAAATAGAAGGTACTGAAGTTCATGTTTAGTATTCTTCCAGCCTCTCAGGTGCCTAACAGTTTATGCATCAGGATAAGTGACAAAGGCAGCTGGAAAATGAAAGCTTGTCTGTCACCCTAGCCGTCCACGAGGCAGTGAGTTCCATCATGCCTTCCCACTGTATTTCTAACACAACAGTGTTTGTATCATATGGGAACTTGTACTCATATGTTATGTAAATAATATGAAACTGTATATTTTTCAAAGTTTTTTTTTTTTAAACTCTGGGGAATCTTTTGTTAAGATGTTAAAGGAATAAAAGAGTTGGAAAAAAGTGTACCTTCAACTTGGGTTGTCTGTACAGTATCCTATGGCCCTCTGCTGTTGTGTAAGTTTTCAAAGTCCATTCAGATACATCATTTGCACTTACGTTGTAAAAATAACTCATTTGGGACCATCTGATTTAAAAGACCTATTCTTGCTGCACTGTCATGTTCAGGAGAATGGGAGATGCAGGAGGAGGGAAAGGAAGACAGTGGTTGTGCTGGTTGCTTCCTCTTAACAGTGGAGACCTACTGCCACTCATTGTCCTGGGTTCTGACCCAAATGTAATATGAAATCACACAGTGAGAAGGTCTAAACATAGCCTGTTGAGCTGTATTAAGGTGGGAGGTGATAAGCAAAATTCATGCCTCTTGGTTGTGGCATCCTTGGGTCGGTGTGCCTCCCTGTTGCCTGCTGGTCCTGGCTTCCTTATTTCCAGATTAGCCCTCACCCTTGGCTTGGCAAATACCGACTCTGCTACTGAATCCAGCGGAAGGCGGTGAGATGGAAGAGAAGGGTGACCTGGGACTGGCCTTTCTCCCCTTCCGGAACCTCTCATAATGGCCTGGGAGGCAGTGAGGCTCAAGGTGGAAGAACCACCGCTGGCCCGACCACCCAAGAGGCACGTTGAGCACATCTCAGCACTAGCACAGCATGAGCACACCAAATGATGTTCAGAAAAAGGAAACCCTGAAATAAAGAAGGGGAGAAATCAGAATTTTGTGTTTTCGTTGTGCTCATTTACAGTCTAGTGTTGATACTATTTGGACCGACTTATCAGTTGGATCCATAGTCTCTTCAGTGTTAAGGTCTTAGTCTGGTTCTGGTTAATACACTTTTTCCATTTCAGCCTGTAGAAGGATGGTCCCGGCCGCCTCAGGGCTTTGGATACTTGCTGTAAAATGTAAATTCTGCTGGTCTGTAAAACACTGGAGTTGTATTAGGTATGTTTGAGTATACTTGTGCATACAGACTCAGAGCACGACAGAAATTCGTTTTCGTGCCTTCATATAACAGACTCCGTCTTAATATTAAGCCAAAAAAGTCAAGGTAATTGACTTACATGCCTGAGGACCTTCCTGTTAGTCACATTTTGGGCTTTTGCCTTGCGTTAAATCAGGAGCTGGTAGATACCCATTTCTCCTGGTTACGTATATGATGAAACTAGGGATCCACTTTTGAATTTTGGGAACGGAAGGCTTTCCAAAACTTCAAACACCTAGAAATACATAGAACAGTTCAGTTATTCGGGTCACACTTAGATAATGCTCAGTTTCTGCGGCATGGTTTTTGTGCTGCAGTGTGTTTCGGCAGCAGAAGATACATGGGAGTCAAACTTGATTTTTTGTTCTTTGTTTTTTGTACAATAGAAATAAATGCTGTTGTGGGTTGAATTGTGCCTCAAAAAAATACATTCAAGTTCTAACCCCCAGTACCTGTGAATGTGACCTTATTTGGGAATAAGGTCTTTGTAGATACAATGTTAGGATGAGGTCATGCTGGATTTGGGTGAGTCTTCAGCCAATGCCTAGTGTCCTTATAAGAGGGAAATTTGACTTCTGGGTACTGATCTGAAGGAAATAAAATCATTATCTCCTAGAGAGATCTTCATCCTCATGTTCACTGTAGCATTATTTGCAATAGCCAAGACAAGGAAACAATTTAAGTGTCAATGGATGAATAGATAAAGGAAAAATATATAATGGAATTATTATTCAACCAACAGGCACATGAATAATACTCAATATCACTAATTATCAGAGAAATGCAAATCAAAACTACAGTGAGGTATCACCTCACAACAGTCAGAATGGCTGTCATTAAAAAGTCCACAAATGATAAATGCTGGAGAGGCTGTGGTGGAAAGGGAGCCCTCCTACACTGCTGGTGGGAAGTGTAATTTGGTGCAGCCAGTATGGAAAAAAGTGTGGAGATTCCTTAAAAAGCTGAAAATAGAACTACCATATGATCCAGCAATCCCACTCCTGGGCATACATCCATAGGGTACTCATTGAAAAGATACATGCACCCCAATGTTCATAGCAGCACTATTTACAACAGCCGAGACATGAAAGCAACCTAAATGTCCATCAACAGATGACTGGACAAAGAAGCTGTGGTATATTTATACAATGGAATACTACTCAGCAATAAAAAAGAATGAAATAATGCCATTTGCAACAACATGGATGCACCTAGAGATTGTTATTCTAAGTGAAGTATGCCAGAAAGAGAAAGAAAAATACCATATGATATCACTCATATGTGGAATCTAAGAACTAGAAGAAAGAGGTTGCTAGTGAACTCATCTACAAAACAGAAACAGATTTGCAGACATAGTGAACAATCTTATGGTTACTGGGGAAAAGGGGTGGGAAGGGATAAATTTGGGAGTTTGAGATTTGCAAATGATAACCTTTTTATATAAAAATAGCTAAAC